ACTTATTATCCTATATTATACTATTATTCTTGTTATCCTACATGAGCCTATTACATACATGTTCTCCGAAGCAGAAAGCATATTCTATTATACTAGGTTATAAGAAGTATATTCTATTATAATATATTTTACATTATAAGTACATTATATTTCCACATGCTATAATAAGTATATCATACTATAATATACTTGTAACCTAATATAATAGAATAAGCTTTCTGCATAGTATAATTATATTATAGTATAATATTGTAACCTAATATAGAATAAGCTTTCTGCATAGTATAATTATATTACAGTATAATATTATAACCTAATATAATAGAATAAGCTTTCTGCATAGTATAATTATATTACAGTATAATATTATAACCTAATATAATAGAATAAGCTTTCTGCATAGTATAACAAGTATATTATAGGATAATATAGGATAACAAGTATAATAGTATAATATAGGATAACAAGTATATTATAGTATGATATGCTTACAGTATTATAACCTAATATAATAGAATAAGCTTTCTGCATAGTATAAGTATATTATAGTATAATATAGGATAATAAGTTTTTCGCATAACAAGTATACTATAGTATAATATACTTATTGTAACCTAATATAATAGAATAAGCTTTCCGCATAGTATAACAAGTATATTATAGTATATTATAACCTAATATTAGAATAAGCTTTCTGCATAGTATAAGTATATTATATTATAATATAGGATAATAAGCTTTCTGCATAATATAACAAGTATATTATAGAATAATATAGGATAGCAAGTATATTATAGTATAATATACTTATTGCAACCTAATATAATAGAATAAGCTTTCTGCATAGTATAACATTATAGTATATTATAACCTAATATTAGAATAAGCTTTCTGCATAGTATAAGTATATTATATTATAATATAGGATAATAAGCTTTCCGCATAATATAACAAGTATATTATAGAATAATAGAGGGTAATAAGTTTATTATAGTATGATATATTATAACCTAATATAATAGAATAAGCTTTCCACATAGTATAACAACTATATTATAGTATGATATACTTATTATAACCTAATATTGTAGAATAAGCTTTCCTCATAGTATAATAAGTATATTATAGTATAATACACTTATTATACTATGCAGAAAGCTTATTCAGAGGGCAGGACAAGGAACAACAGATGGAAACTAACCAAGGAGAGAAGCAACGTGGAATTAAGGAGAAACTTCTTAACCGGGAGGACAATTAGCCAGGGGAACAGCCTGCCACCAGAAGTTGTAGGTGCTCCATCCCTGGAGGTTTTTTTTCAACAAGAAACTGTCTGAAATGGTATAGGGCCCTCCAGTTTGAGCAGGTGGGCTGGACTAGAAGACCTCTAAGGTCCCTTCCAAGTTCCAACTCTTGTTATTCTGCTCTGGGGCACCTCCGATTCTTCGTCTCTTCGTCCAAGGTGAATCACACACACACACCCCTCTCTCTCTCTCTCCTGCCCAGACCTTTTCGTCCCCGTCCTCCGCAGCAGCCCACCACGGAGGGAGGCGATGGCGAGACGAAAGCAGCCCAAGCGCCAGCGGATGGGATCCGTCCCGAGCCTCAACGGCAGCGCAACCGACCTTACTTCCAACGCCGACGCCAGCAGACGGCTTCGGCTCGCCAGACAGCGACTGAGGTGAGGAAGGGCGGTGGGGGGAAATTGGGGTGTGTGTGTGTGTGCAGGGGATGATGGGTGGGGTGCAGGAGAAAGCGGAATTGCATCCAAATCGACCAATTCCAGTTGATTATTTTTTTTTTGAATCTTTTTTTTAAATCTTCCGGTGAAGTTCGCAAAGCGGAAAACTTCGCTATTTTTACAGAACACTATTTTTCTGGACACCCCCCCCCCGCCCCCAAATATTAGGGGTATCTTAAAGATCCCCGATTTAACTTCTTGGAGAATCGATGAGGGTCCCTGGACAGGAAGGATGGATGGATGGAAAGGAAGGGGGTTTTTGATCCTTGTTTAAAGATGCCAGTTGGGACCGGCAGCTGTCGTTAAAACAGCTTTGTACATGGCAGGGGGAGGGGAATGGGACTGTGCTACTTAGTGACGGCACTCGGAGCAAACTGTTATGTCCGTTTGGAATTTGGGAAGACGGGGCATGCAACCCCACCATTCCCCTTCGGAGGGGGGGGGAATTCAAAGGTGCCAGAAACTGACCGGATCGTGTTCTGTGCTGGTTTCTCCAAGCCTCCCCTCCCCACGCAATCTGACCCCGTCCCCCCTCTTTCTGCCCCAGGCGACCACCAATACTAAGGAGCAGCCGGCCCCCAGCTCCGCAGCTGCCGGGGGGGACACCCCAGCTGCCAGCACTCCTGTGATGACTCAAGAACCGGTGGTCGAAGCCAGCAAGCCGGCTTCCCCAGCCCAGGAAAGCCCCACCCAGCCACTGCCGGAAATCCAGCAACAGCTTGTGGATGTAAGCAAAAGGGGGTAGGGGGAGGCCTTGGAGAGACCCCCGGTTAAGCCCCCCGCCCAGCTTCTTCCCCCGGGGTGCATGGGCTTGGAAATGGCCCCCCGCAATGCCTTTGCAGGCCACCGGGGGTCACTCTTGAGCCACCTCTGCAGCAGCAGCCACCTTTCCAATTCCCCCCAATGGGCAGATTTTACCACTCAATTGCCTTTTTTTTTTTTAAATTAAAATCCAGATTTCAACACCTGAGCCTGGGGGAGAGCTTGCCCCTGCTTTACTGGCATGAAGAGCCTGCCCACACCGAGGGGATGCCAAGAGCTGTGATCTGGTAAGGGGAGATTTCTTTATATTTATAAATATAAATTGCTTGGTGGGTTCAAACTCGGTTTTGTTTTCACGCCGTTTTCTGGGTCGGAGGAAAATGAAGACGGACGGATTTTGCAAGCCGCTTGAACCGTACAACTCCCCTCCGAGCGTCGAGTTTAGACCTTAGACCTGTGTCGTTTAGTTTTTACTTTACAGTGTTGATAAATTGTGTGTGTGTGCGAGGTGGGTGGGTGGGTGGGTTTGAAAGCTGCCGGATGCCAACAGAAAAGTTTTGCAAGCTGACACTTGTGCAGATTTCTCCTTCTTCCTCCTGAGAGCTTCTTGGCAAGGGACCTCTCAAATGCACCGAGATTTGTTTAGATAGATAGATAGATAGATAGATAGATAGATAGA